GCTAGAATCCATGTATTATTGATAAGGTTTTGGGGGGTACCCACGAAGGACGTTGGAGTATACCCATTCCGCCAGCCTATGTAGGCCTAGAGAGCAAGCTGCAGTCTCCCTTTGTGTTAAAGCAATAGGTCGTAATGTTGTTAAGATATACTGTAAAGTGCGGAGTTGTGTTAGTCTTGGCAGATTTTAACTAGTTTGGTGATATGACTAGCTCAGTGATAGAGTACGTTATGTAATATAATAGATAAGTTATTATAACGTGTTTCACAAGCGAGCGCCGCACCCAACTGAGCGCCGCACTTTCAACAACAGAACACCTGCGCAGCGCTATATCACAACACAACACAAATAAATAATTATTTGCAGGCCTAGATAGTATTATTTAGAAGCTTTACTATTATCTACATCCTCTATTTCTACCTTGCAAGTGTAGGAATTATGTCTAATCTTACTGTAACACCTACAGCGTTGTCTAACACACACCCTCTTTGCAGGCATCTTACCCTTACTATAACCTCTACCCTCCTTTTTAGTAATTAAGTTAGCTACTTTACTAACTATAAGGGTCTCCTCTACGTGTATATATTATTACTTATAGGTCTTGTACTTTATAGACGCTTCTACAGTGTCTTAAAGGTAGCCTATTTCCTCCTACATTAACACTATATTATAAGCTATCTGCTAAGCACTCTTTACTAACTATTTAACCTACTTATCTAACAAACTTGCTAGAGACCCTTAATAGATTTAAATCTACTTTTAAATTAGAGTTAACTGCTCCTCTACTTTGTAAGTAGTGTGTGGTGTCTTTAGCTCCTAGGCAATATTGCTAGGTTTTAGTGGCGTTAGCGTGCACAGGCGCACATTAAGCTTTAATAACACCACCTCTAGGTTGTGTAGGACTAGCCCAGCACCTCTAAAGCCTGCGTGAACGTTCTCTCTAGTAAATGCCTTACTAAACACTAATTTAAAGGCTAGCAGGAAGGTTTCCTTATTAATATAGTAGATGTGACTGCGTGCTAAGGCTAAAACCTTGTTGCTATACAGGCGCTTTAGTGGCAAGAAGCAGGCGACGTTAAGTGGCTGCAACAGGTGCAACAAGTGCAGGGGCATACAGAGAGTGATTATCTTCTTCTCTCTGCAGAGATCTTAGAAAGCTACTAAGTAGTGGCTCTTATAGCTGTTAATAATAAGTAGCTAGTAGACCCTAACTAGCTTTGTATGCGTATTAAAGTAGTAGAGCAAGGCAAGTGCTAGATTATTATTAGTCTAGCTAGTAGGACTAATATTAATAACCTAGTCCTGTAGAAGGTCCTTAGTAAACTAGTTAGAGATAAGAACCTTGCCTGTAAGGATAAGGAATAGTAGGATAACCTTCCCTATTAACCTAACGCCTTATACTAGGGTAACCTACTTACAATTACTAGGTTAGATCTTCTTCTACTTCCTAGGCTTCTCTAAGCCTATTACTACTAGCTATAACAAGATCTTGCCTATTAGGAAGCTAGACTTATTAAAGTTGTACACATCCTTGTCTATAATACTATACTTCGCCTTTATAGACTAAACAAGCGTGAACTAGGGCTAGATAACTGCTAGGTCCTCGCAGGCAGCCTGCTGGCGATTGTATGGGCGGGTCTACCGCTTCTAGAGCTCTGGTGTACGCTTTACTAAGTTGTCAACCTAGTTCTTGCTAACAGGCTTTGCACCGCACTCTCTTAGCAGTTTATCTGCTATATCTTGTACGTCTGCCTTTAAGGAGGGTAGGCCACGCGCAGATTCCTTAAGTATACGTAGTATAACTGCCTCCTCTTCTAGCTTTATAAGGCGCTTTGCATTTAGCTTGTAGTTGCGTTAAGAGCGTGTTCTGTTGTGTTAGTATTAGATTGTTTATTTAGGCACTTTATAGACTTTCTTAGCACGTTAGATACTTTAAATTTAGTTTCTTAAGATATTAGATATAGCAAGCTGTACATCAGCTTTAGTATAGAGTGTAGGAGCTTGTTGTGGTTGAGACATTACGCGCTGTTGTTGCGCCGGCGTTCTGGCAGCGAGAGTGCGGCGCTCGGTTG